TGTGGGTCTTATAGGTCTAAGGTGGGCGGTGGAAAGAATGCGGTGGTGTTTTTGTTACGCAGCTCCTCTGTTTCACCTCTCCTCATTCAAGAGCCTCGTCTCAGCTCGACAGATAAAAGCCCTTATCAAATATTGTCTGCGCTCAGCTGAGCGTGGCCCTCTAATCTTAACCTGTGTCTGTTCAGGGGGCATCTGAATACCGGCTGCCCACTAGACTGTGAGAGGGAAGTAAAGGTGCGTAGATGCCTCTGAAGGCGGCTAATGTCAGGCCCCGTGGCCTAGTTAAGATGCAAGTCGTGGAATGGCGGCCGAATGTTTACGAGTCCCAGTTTTTTCTCCTAAACACCCGTAGAGAGGCTCTATCACAATGAAGAAGAGCAAGATTGATGGGGCACTTGTACACAGAATAGACGAGCTTGCTGCCTCATTGTGTCGGTGAGGATTTCTCGCAGGGCTGCTCTGGAGGGAAAAGTCGGGTCTCGCCCGCGTCTTTGTTGCCACGCGGCTGTATGCGATATGCTCACAGTGGAGGGGTCAGATATAAGCCCGGTTAATTCCAGCAGACAGCAGGTATTGTTGCTTTATTGTAACAAATTGATCTGAGACCGCTCTCGTCTGGTGCTGCATGATGAAGTAGGCTGGACTCTTTTGTGCACATTAATTATCTTTAAAATAAATATGACAATGCCTGTGCTCGACGCAGTGGGACTGCAGGAATAGGGCCCTCTTCACCAGGCTCCACTTTTGCTTTTGTTCATTGGTGTCTTGTGAAGAGATTCTTTATCACACGTATGGAAATATAATATAAAACCTCTGCAGAATAATATATCCATGACTCCGGGACAAAACACAGCTATCGTAAATTTAGATGTCTTTTACAGTGAGTTTTTGCATCAGAGCAAGGGCTATTATTCACAGTAGTGACTGTTAAATCAACATCTCAGAGGGTATATGCCTTTTTATTGCATCTGTGAGTGTGTTTGCATATATGCAGGTGTACAACACTTGGTGATTTAACTTCAAATGGAAATGTCGGACTTACTTGGCAAATGCTTTTATTCAAAGTAGTTTAAAGTGCATTCAAGCTACAGTATATGTTTTATCAGCGCATGTGTTTCCTGTGTATTAAACCCATGACCTTGGTGTTGCTTGCACCCTGATTTATGACTACCGGTAAAGTTGGCCAATGTGAGAATGTTTGGGGCCAGTTGACATAACTGTGACTTGCCTAATTGTTCTATCACTATATCTTAAAGGAGAACTCCGGCGCAAAATGAACCTTTGGTCTTATTACACATTGTTACCTAGTCAACCGTTATCTGAGATTTGTTTTCATGATTATCGAATGTAAATAGTTTTATCTCTACAAACAGTTTAGCCTATAAAGCTAGTATAACGCTAGTATATTGGGCATAGTGTAATGACAAATAAAAATCGCTTGTTAATACCACTAACAAGGTTAAAAATAGCCCCACACTAGCACGGTAGCATAATGAGGGTCCCTACCTTCAAACCGAAGCATTGAGAACTTTGTCAGTGTCCAGACAGTTTAATAAGAAGATATTTTAAACATACAGTCAACTTCGCGTATACAGGCAGGAGCCATCTTTGAAAAAGAGTCTCTACCAGTCGATCTACGAACGCCGATCCAAGCCTGCTGTTCGCGCTCACCTTATCACAACTTATAGCTCGTTCACATCTCACCAGCGCACTTGGATCGGCGTTCGTAGATCGACTGGTAAAGACTGTATTTCAAAGATGGCTTCTGCCTGTATACGCGAAGTTGACTGTATGTTTAAAATATCTTCTTATTAAACTTGTTAGTGTGGGGCTATTTTGAGCCTTGTTAGTGGTATTAACAAGCGATTTTTATTTGTCATTACACTATGCCCAATATACTAGCGTTATACTAGCTTTATAGGCTAAACTGTTTTTAGAGATAAAACTATTTACATTCGATAACCATGAAAACAAATCTCAGATAACGGTTGACTAGGTAACATGTGTAATTAGACCAAAGGTTCATTTTGCGCCGGAGTTCTCCTTTAATTATTTGAAATGATCTTAATGAACGTGCATTTTTTTATGCCTAAAACTTTGGCAACTTCCACTTGTTGGCAACTTTTTAAACTTAAATTAAGTTGGCTTGAATAGATTTATCTTAGTTATAGTTTTATTTATCTATTAAAAATGTTCTGCATGTATTTAAATAGGTTGAAAATCACTAACCAGTGTCAGTGTTGTTTCGCCATGAATGGTATAACTACTTGGTTATTAGCATGCATGTTACTAGGATATTGGCTGTTTATAAGTACTTATAAAGCACATATTAATGCCTTATATGACCATGTTCTACATCCCTTAATCCTACCCAATACCTAAACTTAACAACCTTACTAACTATTAATAAGGAGTAATTAGGAGTTTACTGAGGTAAAAGTTGTAGTTAATAGTTAGTTAATGGTGAGAATTGGAGCCTAATCTAAAGTGTGACCATAAATAATAAAAAGCCTATAAATGCTATATAAATTCCTAAAATGTTTACATTTTTATACTCTTTTTTTTTTTTGTGCTAGGCCAGTGAATATGTTTCTGAACTGCAAATAGAAATTTGGCCCGACCAGGAAAGCAGAAATAGTCTTATTGTAGCTGTGCTCTGCTTCAGCCTGAGTATCAGTGATTTAATCTCAATCATAAATGGCACTACGGCACATGGGCATTGAGTCACTCTGGCATATATGTAAAAGTACAACAAATAAATGTAGAAAATGTACTCGAAGCTCTCGCGAGGGAGCGGCACCCGCTGTCAAGTGGAATATTGAAGTGGCACTTATAACAGCGGGGCGAGCGATGCAGGTTCCCCCTGAATAAAAAGACATAGCAAAATGATAAGCAAGCCCTCTCCAGTGCCTGCGTGGCATTCCCTAGTTTCCCATCAAATGTTCTTCACTTCATTTGTTGTTATATCTGCATTTGTTGCTGTATGCACACACACACACACACACACAAGTCTGCACGCTGGCACACACTCGCGTGGATGAGAGAGTTGTCAACTCTGGGCACTTAACCAAACCGTAATATTGAGCTGTAAGGCTTATATCTGTGGTTTCTAGTCTTTTGCCCTGTGGGGATTTGCCTTCCTAGATCCTCAAAGGAAACACTGCTCATCTTGTCGTTTATATTCAAGCCCACCGCTCGGGCCCTGGGCAATCACAGAAATCAGTGTAAAGTGTTCACAAATGAGCTTCTGCCGCCCCTCCTCCTAATGTACATCGGCTTTGGCTTCATGCTACATTTTTAATGCACAATAAGAGGAAAACATGCTTGCATGCATAAGTGTTTTTAGTATGTCTGAAGACTGTATTTAAAGTAATGCTGTCAATTTTGTGTTACAAATTAGAAGGCAATTAATCGTGTCCCCTTCCCAACTCTACAGCAAAATTGATTGCTGTAGACTATAGGTCAGTTATGTTAAATTACTTATTTTATAATGTCTTTTCAGTGTCAATATTATTTGTTTTGTTTTGTTGCTTTTGATTTATTAATCAGCATATCATGTAATTAATTAATTTATTTCTCAAATGATAGCCCTAATATATAAAGTGTTTTCAGTGTTCTGAAAATATGTAGGCTATAGACATAAAACTCAAAAAGATAGGAAACATTTTGAATCGGATGATTAAAATTGTACTTATACATGAAAACATATACATGACTTATGTTGTTCTGGAGTGCAATACTAAATGAAAAAATATGATCTTTAAACTTACAAATCACGATCCTGTCAAAAAAAATTCACACCCCCCAGCTCTTAATGGATCTTGTTACTTTCTTGAGAATAGGTGAACATTTTCACCTCAAAATCATACTGTCACTGCTAGAAAGGGTTCAAATATGCAGAAGATGCTAGAAAACTGAAGAACGTGCAGAACCTGGATGACTTTTCTCAAGAAGAGTAGGCAGTTTAACCGCTCAGGACAAACAAGAGACTCATGAACAACTATCACAAAACATGCAGTAAAAACAGTTGTCATCCAGGTAACAACACACATTATTAAGATTCAAGGCTATGTCCACTTTTAAACTGGTTAACAATAACAGTAATTAGAAAAATAACATGCAGCTTTTATGATCCATTTTATCTAGCACATTCTGTATTCTCAATAATTTATTCTGCTTTAAAGTCCCAGAAGTCATAATGATGATGTGAGCAATTTCATATATTTACATTATATATCATCCCTAAGAGCAAAGGATACACATTATGTGTAATTGATGCTTTATCTGTTTTTATCGTTCTCGTTCTCCCACAGTGAATATAGTTTATTTGCTTCTTAAACCAGTTAAATGAGTAGCATTTTAGCTTTTATAGAGATTCAAAAGGCAAATGGTGCACCAAAAATGGAAATGTAATTACAATCAATATCAGTTTGCTTTCGCCATGATTCTTTTATCAGAGCATCCCCAATTCTGAAAGTCTGGGCTTTGAGAAAATCCCGAGTGTCCTACTGGTTGAGGTTGCATGTGTGCTCTGTGAATACTATCATCCTGACTTAAATTATCTGGAGCGAGGGACGGCTATTAGGTCTTAGGCAACCGAGCAAATACATTTCATTTTCCCGTCTTTTATAAACACCTTTGTGAAAAGCCTGAATTTATGCATTCAGGAGTCTTCAGGTGTTACATAATAGCAGATTAAACTTTCAAGAGACATCTCCATGCATGTTTAATGCTCGACAGGGATTTTTAGAAATTTGTAAGCTGCGGTTGTGGGAAACCTACTTTTGAATCTGTGTTATCAGTATATGTCAGATTTGATATGCCCTCCTGCGAGTTTAATCAGCGCAGTTGTATTTAAGATTAAAATGTATTGAAAAAAAAAAAAAACATTTCAGTCCGTCTATGCTGGTCATTTTAATGCTTCTTTTGAGACATGTTTTTTTTTTTTTTTTGTATACTAATGCATCTTGTTCTGTGTCTGTTTTTCACGCTCTCTACAGAGGATGAGCTGTAGCTATCTCCTATGCACCATCCTGCTCTTTGTTGCAGTGTTACTGGCTGTCACGGTAACCGGGATCATCCTTCTGATGAACCATTACCAAGCGCCCAGCGGCCCCGATGGCCCCCCTCTCATCAGCACTAACCAGGATGAGGCTAATGCCCTGGTAACCATCGAGAGAGGCGACGGTTCCCGCATTAACATCTTCATTGACCCCAACTGCCCCGACTACAACAATAACTTCCTGCGTCTGGAGGGCGTGCAAACCTCACTGCTGCACTCTCTCACCGACCACGACACTGATCTGAAGTCAGTGAAAGGGCAGGACCGGGCTCTGCTTGTTAAACTGGCTGAGGAGGTGGCCAAACTGTCCGCCCATGCCAGTCAGCTGAAGATGGAGTACAACGCTCTGAGACAAGGCCAGGGCAACATTGGACAGGAGCTCAGCACTCTGCAGACCGAACAGGGCAGGCTTATCCAGGTTAGTAGCATTATCCACAAAGCCAAATTCCTGTGCATACCAAGTTTGAATTTCTGCCATGAAGAACTTGCAGAATGAGATTTTAAAATACAATGCTGGGAGAGTTCACAAAGAATGAATGGCGCCGTTGATAGTGCTTTTTGCATTGTTTTAGCGCCAGATTCACTAAAGAAATTATGCAAGTTAGGTAAACGTGCAAATGCGACCACCACATTCACTATCTTTCAGGCTGGTTCTGGGTATGAGGATGTTGGGAATGCTGCACACTGTGGGATCTGGCATACTTTGCTGGGACTTTGCGGCATTGTCCAACTACTTCTATCCAGGTACCTGATTCGGAACTTTACATCGCTCATCTGGATATATGCCTGGTTATAATGGAGCAACCCTTTAAATGTGGTTTACCATCTGCTTTCCATTGGCAGTAATAGCGCGGTGTTAAAGGGATAGTTCATGCACCCAATAAAATGGAAATCCTGTCATAATTTACTCACCCTCAAGTTGTTCCAAACCTGTATACATTTCTTTCATCTGTTGGACACAAAATAAGATATTCTGAAAAATGACGGTAACCAAACTGTTTGGTTACCGACATTCTTCAAAATATCTTCTTTTGTGTCCAGCAGTAGAAAGAAATTCATGCCGGTTTGGAACAACTTGAGGGTGAGTAAATGATGACAGAATGGTGATCCAGCAAAAGCTAGGTTTATTCAGAAGCTAGGTGAATTTTTTAACTGTTCAAATGCTGAAGAAAATCACTAACCATTTGATTTTTTAAATAGAATTTTGCCATATATATATATTATAGTATTCATATTTACTTATTTGCATATATTATTTATATACTTATTTATAATATTGTTATTTATTATAAATAAATATAATAATAATAAATTTATTAGCCTACTGACGGTAACAAGGTTGTGCAGTTGAGGCTCGCGCAGCCTCTCAAGGAGAAATCTAAACAAATGAGCGCAACTCACAAAGAAACTCAGTTAAAGCTCCAGTAGGGAGTTTTGAGAAAACGTTGACTTAGCCTGAAAATTTGAACAAGCACAACTTACAGGTCCCACCCCCTTGCTCTCTGCTGCGCTACAGCCCTCCCTCCACAGCTCGTCCTCCACAGCGGAGCCTGTCGTGAACGCGCAGGCTAGTAACCAGGGCCACCGATAACAGCGGATAAAAAGTTATATGGCACATTCACTAATAGGGACTAAACGTCAACAATATGCTTTACATTGACTATGGCCTGCCCATACTTTGACTACAAACTTGGTCCTCAAATCATTATGTATTTTCCAATAGCCTACATGTAACTTTATAACGTTGCACTCTTTCTATAAGTTATAAATAGCTAGTGAGATAACGTTAATATAACGGTAACTAACGTTACAGTATGTAAGTAATTATTCTAGCGATATATAATGCTAGATAAGCATAGGCGTCATTTACGGGGGGGACGGGTGGGACATGTCCCCACCACTTTTTGCCAGGGTCGATATTGTCCCCACCACTTTTGAAACATCTCGCGTCACGGATGTACCAATACAAATAAAAAATCTCTAGTTAACTAGCAGCATTCGTTTAATTCATTTGTTAAATAAGAGGCGATCTAGCGCTGAAATGTGTTGTCTTCACTCGGACGCGCGCTTCAATCCGTTGCAGAGATTCTATTCGTTCCAGAGAAATCACAATTCAAAATGCACACAAACGTGTCCCTGCTTCTGAGGGTTCTAATCCGCACTCGTATAGTTTTTTTTCCCCCTCATCAAAACCGATAATGTTTATCAGTGATAAAGTATATCAAGATTCTTGATATACAATTATCGGTTTTGATGTGGGGAAAAAAACTATACGAGTGCGGATTAGAACCCTCAACCTCCGACACGGATCTATATATATATATTCACGGATCTATATATATATATTCACGTAAAAATTCACGATACTAACAACATTATATTAGATCTTAATATAATATTAAATTTAAACCCAAAGTACCATCACATTTTTGGTCGGACATCATCACATCTTTGTATACATTTTTATTTATTTAAATCAGTAAGCTACAGGACATCGGCGTCTTTCAAACCATGACCTGCGCGAAAGAGAAAAAAGAATGAACGCGTCATTGTACCCTGCACTTTTGAAAATGCCCTTCCGAATGCGTCTCTGTCCCCCCCACATTTCAAACCAAACTGACGCCCATGTAGATAAGGTGTGCTAGTACATTATTTCAGCAACATGACAAGCCAGTGAATTAGCAGGTTTCAATTGTTGCTTAGCAGAGTGCGTGACATTTTATCTACATGTTATGCGGCTAGAGTTTTGACACAGAGTCAATGGGCTCTGTGTCATTCTTTCTTTTTCGCTTGTTTATCGTCATCGGTCTTTTTCCTTTACCTCTTTGTTTTATGAGCAGGTGTCACTCGAGAATTGGCCGTTTAGGTTGTTTCTCCGTCATAAGCACAGCTGCAGCACGCCGGCAATCTTGAGTTTGAACGACGGCTCGCGCTCCGGCGCTTGCGCTGTGCAAGAGAGGGGTGTGATCAGCGCGTATACGAGCGTGACTGACACTGCTAAGACACTCCTCCTGGCTCTGATTGGTTGTTTCTGACCGGGAGCGTGTATTTCTTGCAAATGGCAATAGGACCACTGGGAGGAGCCAGAGGAGCTTGATTTTTACACAGATTATCTGTCTCATATTCTACTGTCAGGACATAATGACAGTTTTAGCAAATACATGTTTTCAAAAGTTACCTACAGGAGCTTTAACAACATATTGCCGATAAAAATTTGAAATGTGGAGGTTTTATATTTTTAACATGTGATACAGTTGACGAGTAGAACTGTATTATACAGTTGACCTCACACGACGAGTGCTGTTTTCCTGAATACCATCACGATTGAAAATGTGACATTGATTTCATACAACAGTTCAATAAACAGTTAAAATTAAGTCACTTACATTTTAGATGCAATATTGACGGTTTTTGTTCTGTTTCAGCAGCGAAAATAGTTCCAAACAAAGATCACAGCAGAACCATAACGCATCTCACAGCAACACTCAAACGTGTTTTCATTACTGAATGATTCAGCGTTTTGAACGAATCGGTGTCAAAGATTTAAAGGGATACTCCACCGTTTTTTCATATTAAACTATGTTATTCCCTTAACTAAGACGAGTTGATGCATACCTCTCTCGTCTCAGTGCGTGCACTAAATCGCTCTGTCTTGCGGCGAAACTTTGATAGCACTTAGCTTAGCTTTGATAGCACGTTTTTCCTATTTAAATACAGTTACACGAGTAGTGTAACTCGACCAAGAATGGTGACAAAAAATAAAACGTTGCGCTTTTCTAAGCGTGTAAAGTGGATAACGGGAGCACTTCGACTCGGCGCATATATATCTATGGACTCGGCGCAGTAATATCATCACTCCGGAGAGGGAGAGGGGGAGAGGATTTTTCACGGGTGATGATATTACTGCGATCCTAATGAATGAACTGGGCTAAGCTAAGTGCTATCAAAGTTTCGCCGCGAGACAGAGCGATTTAGTGCACGCACTGAGACGAGAGAGGTATGTATCAACTTAGTCTTAGTTAAAGCTGCCGTCGGCAACATTTTTTTGATCATATTCAGTGAAATCGACACTATAATCTGACAGAACAACATAAATAAAGTGGTTTTAGAAAAAAACCCGAGCTTCTAACTCCACCTGGAGCGTGTTATTTGTTTTGCAAAAATCCACATCCATCATGTACAATCAGCGTAGGGGGGTGTGAGATCTGACTGTCAATCACAGATCGGGCACACGCCACCCCTCGCGCACGTTACAATCACATGCACACGCCTGAAGCTCGCGGAAGTTCGCGCAGTAACGAAGATCTCGAGTGATGGCGGAAAATCAAGTAAGCTCATTTAGAGTATAAATGACGTTAGCAATTGCAATCTATCGGTAGATTAGCCAGGACAGCATACCTCCAAATACTCCATGGCGTTGATGGATGCTGATGAGACGGGCGCGTTCACTGAAAATCTGGTGCACACGCACTGACGAGCATGAACTCGGTCACGGTGGGAGGGTATCCGTTGATAGTGGGGGAGGGGCATGAGAGTTGTAAACATTCAAAATTTTCCTAAATCCACTCAATCTGCCAGACTTGCCGACTGGAGCTTTAAGGCAATAACAGTTTAATATGAAAAAAACAGTGGAGTATCCCTTTAATGACCCATTCATAAACATATGAATCAGTCGTTTGAACGAATCGTTTGAATGAATGACTCAATGACTCTCTCATTAAGATGGTGGCCTGCCGCCTCCTACTGGCGCTTTAGTGTTATGTTTAAAAGTATCATTCTTTCCAACGTTTCTTATTTGTATATTTAAAACAATCTCATAACATTATTTAATGCAATTGTAATTTTTCAGTGTAAATGATTTAATTTGATCACTTTAAAATAAAAGATGATGCATACATTTAATAAGATTGGGGGGTAGGGGGATGCCCTTTAAAGGTGCAGATATTACAGTATGCAGATTTAAATGTACCAAAGCTGATTGAACACTGATGAGAATATTGCTTCAGAATAAATTATATTTACAACACACACACACACACAAAAAAACATCTGGACAATCAACTGTTTTACTCTACTTTTACAAGTGAATGACAGAATTGGACAAGCATATGAAAAGGCTTAATGTCGAGCCCTGTTTTTAAGATTTTTAATGTTTAAAGTCTCTAATGCATGCCAAGGCTGCATTTAATCAAAAGAACAGTACAAAATAGTAATATTGTGAAATATTATTACTATTTAAATAAACGTTTTTTCCTATTTTAATGTGATGGCAAAACTGAATTTTCACCAGCTATTTCTCCAGTCTTTAGTATCCATGATCCTTCAGAAATCATTCTAATATTCTGTTTTGGTGCTCAATTATTAATTATGTGATCAGTATTTATAATGGTTCTTAGTATGATCAAACAGTTTTTGCTG